TACGTTTAAACGTCACTTCCTGCCTATAGCTCTGAATCCTAATCCAATAGAACTTTTAAACGTCACTTCCTGCCTATAGCTCTGAATCCTAATCCAATAGAACTTTTAAACGTCACTTCCTGCCTATAGCTCTGAATCCTAATTCAATACTACGTTTAAACGTCAATTCCTGCTTATAGCTCTGAATCCTAATCCAATAGTACGTTTAAACGTCACTTCCTGTCCTAGCGACCACAGGCTTGACCATTCATTAGTTAGCGACCACAGGCTTGACCATTCATTAGTTAGTGACCACAAACTTGACCATTCATTAGTTAGCGACCACAAACTTGACCATTCACTAGTTAGCAACAACAAGCTTGACCATTAACGATGTGAATGATTCAACAACCCAAGGTGAAAAGCAAACAATCCTTGCCTAAGATTCGATGTTAAATTCTTTTCATCCTGTTAACTAGAGCTTAGATTGAAAAAAAAAATTAAATTATCACGTGCTGTAAAACGACGAAAGCAAAGTTTATATAGCTAGGCTTAATGCATGAGCTGTTATGCCGTCCGTGATAACTTCGAACTCCAAAAGCTACAAGAAGTCGAGTGGAAAAACGTTGAAGTAAAAGTGATGAGTGGAAAACTTCCGTTTAAAGTAAGATGATGATGTTTATTTAATTGAAAGATTCTTCACGCTTTCAGGATTGTTGTTCTTAGCTTGTTTTTTGACAAAGTAAATGTAATATTTTTTTCCACAGAACTGGAAACTTTTTGTGATTCAGAGCTATAGGCAGGAAGTGACATTTAAAAGTACTATTGGATTAGGATTCAGAGCTATACTAGTGAATGGTCAAGTTTGTGGTCGCTAGCTAGTGAATGGTCAAGTTTGTGGTCGCTAACTAGTGAATGGTCAAGTTTGTGGTCGCTAACTAGTGAATGGTCAAGTTTGTGGTCGCTAACTAATGAATGGTCAAGTTTGTGGTCGCTAACTAGTGAATGGTCAAGTTTGTGGTCGCTAACTAATGAATGGTCAAGTTTGTGGTCGCTAACTAATGAATGGTCAAGCAGATTTTGTTTCTTTAAATGTACCTTTATATTGGTAAATATATTCTTAAATAAAGTTCTTAGAAATAACCGCAATTTAAAACAAACAAAAAGCTATATTTCTATTCTACAGAAATGTGGATATAAACAGTGAAACAATCTCTTCAGACAGTCCTTGATCTCCCAATGGAAATCACTCTAACTCTCTGAAAATTGATCTTCTTTAGAAATTAATCTTGGAGACAAAAAACAAATAAGTAAACTGATTCTTATCGTTACCAAATTGCGTTTGGTTTGAAAATAAACTATTCAAAATGTAGTTATAAAGTAAGGTTCTTTCTTTAGCTAAAAATAGCGCTCCGAAGATGTACTGGTACGAAATACGTGTGTTCTTTTTTTGTTGTTGTTGTTTCTAGGTCGCTTTTAACCCTGATTCTCCTGAAAGACTGGATATCTACTTGAACATCACGAACACCACCAGTCGGAACGAACATGGCTGTTACTTCGTTCAAGTAATACGTATTTTAGTGTTACAATTATTCTAAATATTCATTTATAAAAGCCAATTACTTGTGGTGTCTAGTTTGTTAAGAACGCATCTATGGATGCATATTACTGATAGGTTTGTGCAGCAAATTACAGCTGACACTGTGCCACTATTATAGATAGGTTTGTGCAGCAAATTACAGCTGACACTGTGCCACTATTATAGATAGGTTTGTGCAGCAAATTACAGCTGACACTGTGCCAATGTTATAGATAGGTTTGTGCAGGAAATTATAGCTGGCATTGTGCCCCTGTTATAGATAGGTTTGTACAAGAAATTATAACTGGCAGTGTACCTCTGTTATAGATAGGTTTGTTCAGGAAATTATAGCTGGCAGTGTACCTCTGTTATAGATAGCTTTGTACAAGAAATTATAGCTGACAGTGTGCCACTGTTATAGATAGGTTTTGCTCACAATTTAACCGCACTACTAGAGCTATAATAAACATCCAAAATCTATCAAGATTATTATTACTAAAAATTATTTCAAAATGCAGCAGTAAGGACTAGAAAATAAATATAAAATGAAAGAGTATTTTAGGACCATAAAGAACAAACAAAATCTAGCTATGTTCTTGTGACAATAAAACAGTATTGTTAGGACTATAAAATACATCCAAGATCTAACAATAGTGTTAGGACTATAAAATACATCCAAGATCTAACAATATTGTTAGAACTATAAAATACATCCAAGATCTAACAATAGTGTTAGGACTATAAAACACATCCAAGATCTAACAATAATGTTAGGACTATAAAATACATCCAAGATCTAACAATAGTGTTAGGACTATAAAATACATTCAAGATCTAACAATAGTGTTAGGACTATAAAATACATCCAAGATCTAACAATAGTGTTAGGACTATAAAATACATCAAAAATCTAACAATAGTGTTAGGACTATAAAATACATTCAAGATCTAACAATAGTGTTAGGACTATAAAATACATCCAAGATCTAACAATAGTGTTAGGACTATAAAATACATTCAAAATCTAACAATAGTGTTAGGACTATAAAATACATCCAAAATCTAACAATAGTGTTAGGACTATGAAATACATCCAAATTCTAACAATAGTGTTAGGACTATAAAATACATCCAAGATCTAACAATAGTGTTAGGACTATGAAATACATCCAAGATCTAACAATAGTGTTAGGACTATAAAATACATCCAAAATCTAACAGTAGTGTTAGGACTATAAAATACATCCAAAAAAATCTAAGAATACTGTTAGAATTGTAATAAATGTTTAAAATCTAACAATTCCGATAGGACTAAAAGAAACAACCCAAATATAACATTAGTTTTGAAAACTAAGTGATGAAAATAATAAGTGATTTTTGTACACACGGTGAAAATTGTAACAAAATGTCAAAAAGGCTTAGTAGGCAAATATTGTCTAGAACGTTCGCGAACCATGTCTATTAGTTATAAGTGCGTGCATTCTGTTAACTAAACATTTCTATGCCTTTCAGTACCTCCAATTTACAGCTGTTCTAGCCCTGACTACCGTATCCGTATTCCTACGGATAAACTACCTGCTCAAGCTAGTTGTCATGGTTACAGAAGTAGTGGCGTTTACCGTGATCTTCGTAATTGTCCGGCCTGACTTATTCGCTGAGGCTCTGGAGTTGGCTGAAGGGTAAGGAAGGAAAATAATAAAATCATTTCAGTTATTTATCAAAGTCATGTACTACTTATGTCTGATGGCAGCTTGTGATGACTTTCTCGTTAATCCCTCGTCTTTAATTCGGGAAAATGCAAGGAATCAGCTTAACAACGTGACTTAAAAAAAATAATCTGACCTCGTGGTCTTAAGGTTAATCGGGGCACAAGTTTACGACACATTTCTCTTCTGTTCTTATGAACTCAAAGCCTGTCAATTCTGAAGCGATGAACAATAAAGCAGAAAATATACACCAGTAACGTTATGTTTCAACAGGTCAGGTTTCAGGTATATATGTGTATATATTTGGATTTTTTTTCTCTTTATGTCCAACCTGACAAGATTTTTTTGGAAAAAGCTCCCTTAAGGATTGCCTTGTGGGGGTATACTGTGAATAGAAACTTACTTTTTACAAAGGTTGATAATGTGATAACTATATTACTGAGATTTTCACAGATTTCTACGTAATGGGCAGCCGTGTATGAAAACAGTAATACTAAAGTCAACTGAGAAGGTAATACCGTTCCCCCCCTTCTCTCTTTCTCTCTCGCTCGGTAGCTTAGCAGTTTGCTTGAGTGACTATATCAGCAGAATCCGAGGTTCGATCCCTGGATATGCTCCTATCTTTGTGATAAAAT